CAGGAATCAAAAGAGAAAGTAGATAATAAGGAGGAGTTGGATGAGAATGTGAGTCCGGGGGTAAAAAAGATAATAAACGAGTCTGGGAAAGAGGAGATGGAGGTAACTGAAGTGATACCATGGAAGAAGGTATCTCCAGAAAAGGTTGGTAGAAGTCCGCTAAAGAACTCACAGGAAGTGTTGTTTGATCAGGAGAAAATCATTACTCCTTCACGGTTTGCTGCTTTGAGAGGACTTGAAGGGGATAATGAGGAGAGTGATGATCAGGAGGAGGAGCATGTAGAGGTGACAGAGAGTTTTGATAATCTGGAGGTAACAAAAACTATAGGAGATAAAAAGGAAAATCATAAGATAGAAGATGGTAGAGCGAAGAATTTGGAGGTTGAAGGAGGAAGGCAGTTTCTTCCACGAAATTCGAAGAAAAATCACAAGGTGCTCTCGGGGGCTTCAAATCATCCCAAGAATGAGCTTGGGAATAAAACAAGGGGTACTCAAAAAATTCTCTGATGTCTGGTTTTTTTCTGGAACATAAGGGGATTCAATAAGTATGTTAAGCAAAAGGTTGTTAGGGATTGGGTGAGGAGTAAAAATATGCAGTTTGGATGTTTAATTGAAACTAGAGTTAAAGAAGGGAAGGCGGATAAGATTATCTCGGAGGTGTTTAAAGGATGGGATAGTATTTCAAATTATGAGTATCATCGTTTAGGGAGGGTTTGGGTTGTCTGGGGGCCGATGGTTAGAATGACCCCGGTGTATAAAAGTAGTCAAATTGTTACTTGCTCGGTTCAGATGAAAGGAGGAGACGAGGAATACTTTTGTTCTTTTGTGTATGCGATGAATGGAATGGAAGAAAGAAAGAGTCTATGGAGGGAAATAAAGGATCATTATGATGCTCCTATATTTAGGAAAAAGAAATGGATGATTATGGGTGATTTCAACGAGATTTTGGAGGGTGATGAGCATTCGGAGTTTGGAGATAATCCAAGGATTCCTCTAGGAATGAGGGACTTTCAAGAGGTAACAAGACATTGTAATCTAACTGATATGAGCTACCAGGGGCCGAAGTTTACGTGGTGCAATAAAAGGGAGGAGGGTTTAATATGTAAGAAGTTGGATCGTGTTCTAGTTAATGAAGAGTGGCTTCACACCTCTAAGGCTTACTGTGTTTTTGAATCTGGAGGGTGTTCCGATCATCTAAGATGTCGAATACATTTGGAGGTTGAAGAGAAAAAGAAAAAGAGGCCTTTTAAGTTTACTAATGCGATAGCGAAGATGCCTGAATTTATGCCTTTGATAAGGGAGCATTGGAGGGGTAAGGAGGCGTTGTTTCAGTCTACGGCTGCTATGTTTATGTTGACAAAGCATCTCAAGCTGTTAAAGCAGCCGCTTAGAGTTCTGAGTAAAGCTAAACTGGGAAATCTGATCAAAAGAACCAAAGATGCGTATGAAGATTTGTGTGAAAAACAGAAAGCAACTTTGGAAAGACCAATGCGGGTAACTATTCAAGAAGAAGTCCAAGCTTATGAGAAATGGAAATGGTTAGCAGGGCTGGAGGAGGAGTTTTTAAAACAGAGGTCGAAGATGCACTGGTTAGAAGTAGGAGATGGAAACAACAAATTCTTCCATAGTGCAATAAAAATTAGAGAAGTAAGAAATTGCATAAGGGAAATTGTTCGTATGGATGGTACGGTGGCTAATACGGAGGAGGATATTAAGATGGAGGCTGAGAGGTTTTTCACTGAGTTCCTAACTGCTCAGCCGCATGAGTTTGAAGGAGCTACCGTTGAAAAGCTGAAGGAATTATTGGATTTCCAATGTAGCAGTGTGGACTGCGAGAAACTGGAGAGAGAGGTTACTAAAGAGGAGATAAGGGATGTTATTTTTAAGATGCCATCAGACAAATCTCCAGGGCCAGACGGTTATACTGTTGAGTTTTTTAGAGAGGCATGGCCAATCATTGGAGAAGATGTTATGGTGGCAATCCAATCTTTTTTCGTAAAGGGTTTTCTACCTAAGGGAGTCAACTCGACTATTCTCGCTCTAATTCCTAAAAAAGAAGAGGCTAAGGTGATGAAGGACTATAGACCTATATCTTGTTGCAATGTATTGTACAAGATTATCTCAAAGGTTATTGCAAATCGGCTTAAAGGTGTGTTGCCAAAGTGTATAGCTCCTAATCAATCTGCATTCATTAAGGACAGGCTCCTGATGGAAAACGTCCTGCTTGCAACGGAGATCGTGAAAGACTATCACAAGGAGACAATATCACCTCGATGTGCGATGATGATCGACATCTCCAAGGCTTTTGACTCAGTGCAGTGGGAGTTCCTTTTAAACACTCTGAGAGCTATGGGATTACCGGAGAGATTTGTCCATTGGGTTAAGCTTTGCGTTACTACGGCGTCTTTCTCTGTCCAGGTTAACGGAGAGCTTGCTGGATACTTNACTATCACAAGGAGACAATATCACCTCGATGTGCGATGATGATCGACATCTCCAAGGCTTTTGACTCAGTGCAGTGGGAGTTCCTTTTAAACACTCTGAGAGCTATGGGATTACCGGAGAGATTTGTCCATTGGGTTAAGCTTTGCGTTACTACGGCGTCTTTCTCTGTCCAGGTTAACGGAGAGCTTGCTGGATACTTCCAGAGTAAAAGGGGTTTGAGGCAAGGCTGTGCACTCTCTCCATACCTCTTCGTAATATGCATGAACGTACTATCGAAGATGCTTGATGATGCAGCAAGGAATAGTCTCATTGGCTATCATCCTAAATGTAAGAACATAGACCTTACCCATCTATGTTTTGCAGACGACCTTATGGTGTTTGTTGAAGGAAATAAAAGATCAGTGGAAGGGGTTCTCAAGGTGTTCGAGGATTTTGATAAAATGTCAGGGCTGAAAATAAGTTTGGAGAAATCGGTCTTGTTCACGGCTGGTTTCACTAACCAGAAGCATGAGGAATTACTGAATCAGTTTCCGTTTGCTGCTGGGAAGCTGCCGGTTCGTTACTTGGGTCTCCCACTGCTTACTAAGGGTATGACAGTTTCAGATTTCCTACCGTTGATTGAGAAGATAAGGAAAAGAATAGGAACATGGACAGGCAGGTTCTTATCTTTTGCTGGCAGATTGCAGCTGATTAACTCAGTTATTACGAGCCTTGCAAACTTTTGGATGGCCGCTTTTCGCCTCCCCAGTGGTTGTTTAAAAGAGATAGAGAGGTTGTGCTCAGCATTCTTATGGTCTGGACCAGAGCTTAATACCAGGAAAGCTAAAGTTAATTGGCAGGAGGTCTGTCGAACAAAACAAGAGGGTGGACTAGGGATTAGACCGTTAAAAGAGATGAATGTGGTGTGCGTTTTGAAACTGATTTGGAGAATCCTCTCAGCGAATTCTTTATGGGTTAAATGGATTCACATTTACCTTATAAGAAAAGGGTCTATATGGAGTGTTAAGGAGACTGCATTGGGATCTTGGATGTGGAAAAAGATTCTGAAGTATAGAGAGAAAGCTAGACAGTTCTATAAGGTGGAAGTAAAGAATGGGAAGAAGGCATCTTTCTGGAATGAGGTTTGGTCTCCGTTAGGTTGTTTAAAAGAGCTTCTGGGTATGGGTGGCCATATTGCTATGGGGATTCTGAGTGAGGCAAGAGTTGAAGATTGCAGGAACCATAGAAAACGAGATCACAGGAATCAGACTCTTAACAGGGTTGAACTTGAGATTGAGAAATTTAAAGCTACATGGCAAGAAGGAGAAGAAGATATCTCGCTTTGGAANCTCCGTTAGGTTGTTTAAAAGAGCTTCTGGGTATGGGTGGCCATATTGCTATGGGGATTCTGAGTGAGGCAAGAGTTGAAGATTGCAGGAACCATAGAAAACGAGATCACAGGAATCAGACTCTTAACAGGGTTGAACTTGAGATTGAGAAATTTAAAGCTACATGGCAAGAAGGAGAAGAAGATATCTCGCTTTGGAAAGGTAAAGGGGAGAAGTATAAAAGAAGTTTCTTGACGAGTGAAACTTGGCATATTATAAGGACGAAGCACCAGATTTTTGAAGGGTATAAAGTAATCTGGTTTAAGCACTATACTCCAAAGTTCTCTTTTTTGCTTTGGGTTGCTATGAGAGATAGGCTTTCTACGGGAGAAAGGATGTTACGTTGGAAGCTGAATGTTGACACGGAGTGTATTTTTTGTCGTGAGCTGATGGAAACGACTGCTCATCTCTTTTTTGAGTGTCCCTATTCTAAGCAAATTTGGGGAAGTTTAATGGGAGGAGTTTTAAAGGAGCAGTATACTGATAAGTGGATTGAGATATTGAAGCTTGCTGGTGACTCTAGTTGGAACAAGCTCCAGTTATTTACTATCAGATATACTTTGCAGGCATCTGTTCACAGCATTTGGCGGGAGAGAAATAGAAGGAAACATGGTGAAAAGGAGTCCCCATCAGACCTCTTAACAAAGCTGGTTGATAAAACAGTAAGAAACAAACTCTCTATTATTCAAAGAAAAGATGCAGAGTATGAAGGTGGCCTGCGATATTGGTTCGAGTCCAAGCAAAGCTGATTGGAGTTTTGTAAATGGTTAGCTGAGTAGTTGAGTAGTAGAGTTTGTTTTCTTTAAAAATGTATAGGAAAAGATACAAACAGTAACACACTGATGTAAGAAGGGCTTTTTGAATTAATTTAACAATCAATTCAAAAAAAAAAAGAAGCAATAAGATAAAGATGGTTGAGCTGACTATAACAAATAAAACAAGACTTATATTTTTTTGCTTTAAGTTAATGATTAAAAAATGTCAACAAGTCTTTTAAACAAAGACCAAATCTTTATGTTGTGTCTAATCGAAACAACACTGGTAATACCTTGGTTTGGTGGGTTTGGTAAGACATTTGGTTTATCTACCATAGGATTGTTATAAATCCATGTGAAGTTGTTGAAGCATGTTAGTGAGTTAAGTAACAAACAACATGGTTGAAGCAAAGAGCCTTGAGAGACTTAAAGCATGAGGAGTTTATTGAAGAAGGAGATGGAGAGATCAGAGACATTCTCATTGGTTCTTGAAAAGACAGGAACCAAGCTTCAAGAGATCAAAACCAAGTTGTTGTGTTTAGAAGCTGATGTTAAAGTAGAGAGATGGAGATGTTCTCCTTTCTCTGACCATATCAGTCACACCATTGCACCCCTATCTGTTGTTCTGAGAGTCTTTGCTATGGTTAAAGAACTCGAGAGATCTCTCATGTCATGTAATGAAGTTCTTGGTTATGTTTCGGATGTTAAACTTCTTGCAGAAGCGTTAAAGCTTCTGTCAAGTAGCTGTGTTCTTGCTCTTACCTGGCTTGAAGATACAATCCAGTTCCTGTCCCAAAACGGAATGCCTAAAGATCATCCTTGCGGGTTACGGTTCAAGACTTCGATAGAGATTCTACGGGAACTGCAAATGACCGAGGCTCGTGCTCATCTCAGTGGTGGTAGTCTTTGCACAGAGTTTCAGAATCTTGAAACAGAGTTTGAGAGGATACTCGAAGAGGAGGAGGTTTTGTCTGAATCCAACATGAGAAAGCTGCAGGCAATCATCAAGAGATTCGATGCTCACTGTGTGCCTATTTACATCAAGATCCGCACAAGGGTCATTCAGAAACGGTTTGAGAATGATTATCTACACAAATTAATCTCAGAAGCTGACAATGTGCAGGACATTGAAGACGTTATAGATCAATGGAGACTTGATATGGAGATAGCTGTTAAAGAGACCTATGAATTTGAGAGTAAGCTCTGCTATGAAGTGTTTAAAGATGTTGGAGAAGAACATGTTCCATCGCGTTTCTTTGGAGCTATAGCTTCAAGTTCAGGACTCCTTACGCTTCTCAGGTTCGGATCAAGAGTCAGCAAATGCAAGAAAGGTCCACCAAAGCTGCTGAAGCTCTTAAATTGTTTCTCTACAATGGACAACATCCGAGTTGAGTTTAACCGGCTGTTCAGAGGAGATCTATGTTCAGAAATACGCAGAGAAACACGGGAGCTTATTAGCAACCTCATTAACGGTGTCTGCGAGATCTTCTGGGAGTTACCTTGTCAGGTGGAGCTTCAAAGACCAAACTGTCCTCCTCTTGATGGTGGTGTACCTAAGCTTGTGAGTGTTGTGACTGAGTACTGCAACAAGTTACTTGGAGACAAGAACAAGCCGGTCTTGTCCAAGATTCTTGAGATTGATTTGGGTTGGAAGAAGGAAAAGTACCAAGAAGAGATACTCACAGGTCACATCTACAACATACTGAGAGAGATTGCTTTGAACTTGGATGCATGGTCGAGTTTCAACAAAGAAATAGCTCTTTCTTACATCTTTATGATGAACAATCACACCCACTTCTGTGGTCTGAGAGAGACACATCTCGGGAAAATGATGGGAGAGTCTTGGTTAAGCGCACATGAGCAGTACAGAGACTACTACGCAGCACTATATGTCAAAGAAAGCTGGGGAAAGCTCTTGTCTCTACTCAATATCAAAGCTCAACCTTCGAAAAGAAAGCGAGCCCGTGAGTCCATTAAGTGTACATTAAAAGCCTTTGCTAAAGGCTTTGATGAGTTATACACAAAGCAATCAACATGGGTTGTTGAGGATAAAGAGCTGAGATGGAAGATATGTCAAGCCATGGTAAGAACGATTGTGCCGAGGTACAAAAGTTATCTCCAGAGTTACATAATGCTTCTTGTTGAAGAAGATCCTACGAGTCCTGGTAAGGACTTGAGTTATACTTCCAAGGGGTTAGAGATGAAGCTGAAGACTATGTTTCAGAGCAAAGAAGAGACAGAGAAGATATACAAGTATTCTCATTTTGTGAATAAAGTGATGGATTTGGGGGATACTCCGAATTCTCACTTGACGTTTGAAGCTATATGATACTTAACTTGAAAACAGATTAGCTTTAGCTTTACTTGAATAGGTGTGTAGTGTGTTTGTCAAAAAAAAGAAAAGAATAGGTGTGTATGTATTTGTATGTAACATACAAAAGGTGTTTGACTGATTTAAATGTTCATTTCACATTTATTCTTACGTTTATTTTCCTAATAAAAAATGTTCACTTGAGTAATAGATCAGTCTTTCGTTGTAAATAAAAAAAAAATTATTTCCTTCCTTTTATTTTTCTAAGAAAAAATGTTCTTTTACATGAGACACCATTAATGTGATAATGGCGTGATAATTTTGGGAATAAAGGGTACAATCATTTCAGATTAGAAGAAGTCAACAGTAAAAAGAGTTGCTGTATGTTAAGAGAAAATAAATATATTCATCTTTATATTCACAATTTGTTGATTTTGTATGTACTATTCATTGAGTCATATATACTCAGAAGTAGTCTCTGACTTGTCTATAATAATAAAATAGATTTTTTTTATAGGGGGCAAAAATTTACACGTGGCACCTCCTAATTTGGAAGAACCTTTTTGTAGTGGGCTAATCGATCGTTTAACTATTAAACCAAACAAGACTATTTCTTAGATTTGGGCTTATATCCTCTTTTTCGGCCCATGCCCAAAATATCATGTGCTAAGACACATGATGAATGTCAACATATAGTAAACATAGCGACCCTTCCCTGCCGATGAAACCGCCGATGAACTTCCAGTAACGCCTTCACTTCCATTTATTTCCTCCTTTAACTGATTTACATGTTTCCATCCTAGTCCTCCCACTCTCTAGCCTTTAATTGATGGCACCATCTTCATACGTAACAGGCGGGAGATCTCCTATAAATTTGACCGCTTCCAGCGATGAACAGCGCCATCTCTGCGAAATCCATTTCTCTGAGCTCAAGGCTGGCCATTGTAGGCAGAGATTTTCCACGAGTCTTCTCCTATTCTGGAAAGCTCGAAATGTGAAGAAAGGTGCAGAGTTGATTGGTTGATCTGGTATTGCTCGATAGGAAGGTAACGAGTCTTGGTCTTCATTTGGCCTTGATAACATATACTCATTACGAAATAGGATGCTTACATGCTCTGTGGAAATGGGTCACAGTCCAATTAATACTCATTGGCTCAATACTTTCAGAAACATTTTAAAGAAGGGGAGATGTATGAGCTAAATGTGTGTTGATGTATAGATGAGCAACTAACGCTTCTGCCTTTCAGACTCCCATGTATCAATTCATTTTACAGATCAGACAAAGTTCCACGAGTTCCCTGAGAACAGGGACTTGATCTCGATGGAGCTCTTCCGGTTTTGGGATTATGATCAGTTAGTGTTGTTGTCTAACACAAACACTGAATTACCCGGTTATTCATTATTCCCCATTCATACATATCATGTACTCTTCCTAATTTTCCATTTTAAATTCCTGCATATATTGTTCGTCGAGTGATGGGAATTTAAACTGCTTACAACGAAGAAACTCAAAAGACTAAGTGTATGCATAGATTAGTAATATGATTTTCAATCTCGTACCTAGCAGTTGTGCATACTAAAACTATGCCCTATTTTTAGCAAAAAAAAAAAAAAACTATGCCCTATTTGCATAACACCTTTATCTAAATCCAACCTCAACAACCCATTTCTACTTTGACAATGAGTGTGAGGCCAGCAGCGCAAGTTACGTCAAGAGCTAAGATTTTATGCATATAGTATTTATATAATTTTGTAAGGGTCCTATTATGTGTAGACCCATCGTTTTTCCTTTTCGTCAGGTCAGTGAATGAAAGGGAGGGTTCTTCCTCTACTCCCACAGAATTTACAATGGTCAAGAAGGTCAACTCATTGACTATTTCGAAACTGAATGCATATGTCCTCAACTCCTCTCCGCACGTAAACCTTTGTAATGAAACCCATCCTGCTTACTAGCTTCCTTTGTCACACTGCTGTGTTGTCAATACCACCTGAATCACTGCAGAAGTGCAGGTTGAGGATCTCCCAGGAGAGAGGGTAAAGATAATGGTTCGGCTGTAAAATAGTATGTTTCTGTCGAGGAATTCTCTGTTGAAGATTGTTAACACTCTGCAAAGAATCTGCGTAATGGTTGAACTCCAGATGATTTAAGTGCAAAAATGGAGTTGTGTGCTTTCACACCTACTTTTTCATATTTTGCACTTATTTTCCCAGCGTTACTAAGTTGTCATTGAACTATATTGCAATGTTTTCTTTACATCTTTAGGTTTTTTTTTTAAAACAGACTTCTCGATATTTTCAGAGTTCAGTTTCATGCCTTTTAAGATTGTTACACTCGAAGACATGTATGTATAATAATAGTATCACTTTATTTTAACTATTCTAATTTCTCAGCTGCAAAGCAGTATTGTTTAATCCCTATTAAATTTTTACACTGTTATAAATATTGATGTCAAGTATTTCTTCTAATGTCTCAATTAACCACTAGGTTCTTGCAATATTACTTTTATTTCCTTTTAGCAACCTTCATTTGTCAAGTCCATGTGTTATTACTTTCAGATTGTCGCATTTGGGGCAAAACAATGTCATCAAAATTAATATCAAATTCTTTATACATAATTTTCGGGCATTGTTGATGGCTTAGACGCAAAATTTGATAGTAAAAAATCCTGCTTGAAAGATTAGAACGCAAAATAGATTAGTTCTGACTCTAACCGATGAAAACAGTCTTCTTTCGCACAAACAAGTTGTTTGTGACAGTCTGAATAACCAAAAAATCACTCCCACACAAATTATGTAATTTTTTTTTGGTAAGAACGTGGGAGATAGACTCCCAACATTTATTAAAAACTCAAAGTTCCAACTACAAGCGTATTAGACGAGACCGGAGAGGTCCAGCAATATCATCTTGTACCAGACTAACAACCTCAATAGAAACAACATCAAAACTATGAAAACCAAAAGACAAAGAAAAAGCAAGGTTAGCTAAACCATCGACAACGTGGTTAACTTCCCTGTACACATGAACAACTCGGACCAATCAGTCCCTCTTTAGAAAGCCATAGCACAGATGTACCAGGAAAGACAAGGGGTGAGTATCCTCAATCCCTATCATCAGAAAATCCACCACCACCTTCGAGTCAACTTCTACCTCCAGCCTTCTAACTCCTTTCTCCCAAGAAAGAACAAGGCCATAATAGACTCCCCAAACCTCATCCAACAGAGCACTACATCTTTCTATATTTAACGCAAACCCTCCACACCACTCTCGTTCGCCATTTCTCAAGACCCCTCCTGCACTCGCCAAACCCTGGTTTCCATTTGAAGCTCCGTCCGTGTTCACTTTCATCCATCCCTCCTGAGGCGGCTTCCATCATACCAATACTGCAGACTTGGTTGCATCGCCCTTACCCTTCTTCTCTCTCTCATTAGCTGCCATCACTTCCTTAGCCAAGTTCCTTAAGAATCCATTTCTGTCTTTCCATAACTTCTTCTCTCCAAACACATTCCCACATCGCCATTTCCATCCCCACCACACTGCGAGTGCAAACCTTTTTGCCCATGGTATTACTGTCCCTGTTCTGCTCTCACTTAGGTTATGCCACAGTCATTCAAGCAAACATAATGAGAAGAAAACATTCTTCTTATCCCCTGGAACCAATCTTTCTCATATACCTCTCATCGCCTGAAAATATCTCAGCACATGTAAGATTGTCTCTATTCCTCCTCTACACACTTGGCATATGTCTGTTCCGCTGAGATGTCTCCTACAACGTTCTGCATTTGTCATAAGATCCTGCTGGCTAAGTAGCCACAAGAACATCCTCATCCTCTCCGGTGCTACAACTCTCCACAGCACTCGATAGAAACTACTCATGTCTTGTCTCTGCATCTTGTCTCTCGTCAAAAATGCATAAACTGAGCTCACCGTAAACTGCCCATTTGTAGTATGATACCATTTCAATCTATCCATGACTTCGTCACTCGTATCAACCACTACTCCAAGTTCCAACCAAGTCTCTTGCGACACAAAAGGAACAATCCGCGTATGATCCCATCCTCTTCCTTCTATCCACATGCCCTGTACTGTTGTCATTTCATAACCCTCTAGTAGGTCAGCCATCACAACTTCCCTGAGAGCGTGATCAGAGATCCATCTGTCTGCCCAAAATAAGGTCTCTCTCCCATTACCAATAACCTACTCGTTCCCTACCATCACCACTTCTCTTATCCCCAAAACTATACTCCTCCATGTAGATGATCCGTCCCTTCTCACAATCATCCAAGACGTGTCATGTACACTTCCCACCGAATATTTCTTGCGAACTACTTGAGCCCATAAACTATCATGGTTATGCAACAACCTCCAACCCACTTTAGCTATTAGCGCTCTGTTCATGTCTCTCGCCTTACGAATTCCGAGACCTCCCATGCACTTTGGTTTACATATTCTGTCCCAGGCAACAAGATGCTGCCCACTGCCCCAGACAAAACTCCTTGACAGGCTCTCTAACTTCTCAATTGTACTTGCTGGTAGGCCGATAGTGCTCATCGTATGGATGGGGATAGAGGACAGCACAACTTTCGTCTTTGTCACACATCCTGCAAGGCTGAGAGTTTGTTTCATCCAACCCGAGAGACGCGATGCAACCTTCTCAAGTACTTCGCCAAACGTATCCTTATTGATTATCTTCTGTAGAATCAGAATTCCTAGGTATTTTCCCAACTCCCTAGTTGATGCAATACCACTCTCTCAGCTTATTCTCTCCCCTATTTACCTTGTAACGTTACTTGAGAAAAATATTTTAGACTTTGGGAGGCTGAATTTTTGCCCTGATGCTTCACAGAACTTCTCCAAAACTTTTCTTATGACCCTTATTTGCGTCACCGAAGCTTCAGCAAATAATATTAAATCATGTGCAAAGCAGATATACGATAACTTAGGGCCACCTCTAGACAGGCTAATCGGTTTCCATCTCTTCTCCTCCACAGCTTCATCTATCAAATGGCATAATCTCTCC